CCGGTGCGCTCACAGCACTCACTGGCTGAGCGCAGTGCAGCCGGTCTCAAAAAGGACAAAACAAACAAACAAACAAACAAAAACCATGAAGATAATAAATAAGACTGGGTGTTAATATTATGTCTTTCACAAAAATTAAGATTGACTAGTCTCTCCTATTAGACACACACCTTGTAAATTCACAGGTTGGTCTGAAAATACCTTGTTGGTTTATAAGATGACATTGCAGGATTAAGAGCANCTTCTCTCTTGCAGCTTTTAAGATTCTCTCTTTGTCTCTGAGTTTTGCCAATGTGACTATAACATGTCTTGGAGAATGCCTTTTTGGGTTGAATACGTTTGGAGTTCATTGAGCTTCCTGGATCTGAAGATCTGTGATTTTTCTTATACTTGGGAAGTTTTCTGCCACTATTTTGTTGAATATGTTTTCAATGCAATCTCCATTTTCCTCCCCTTCTGGAATACCCATGACTCGGACATTTGAGCGCTTAAGGTTGTCTGATATCTCTCTCAGATTTTCTTCAGTATAGACTGCTTTTTAAATCTTCCAATTTTCATCGTTTTCTTCTCCCACTGTAACAAAACACCTCATTTTTATCTTGACAAATATCAACCTACTGGAGAGACTAAGTGTCTCAGCTTTCTTTGTGGATAAGCTAATCATGAGGTGCAATTTTAGCTAATGAAGTGTGAGCAAAGTGATTATGTGTGATTAATCATCCAGGAGATATCCTTAAACAGAGGAGACCTAGCCTTTTCCCTGCTGGATGGAAGATGCATGTGATATGAGCCATTGTGGACCAGGAGGTGGCATGTTGAAGAATGGCTAAGCAGAGACAGTGGAAGGAACCGGTGCCCCTGATGACCTTGTGAGGCAGAACCATGGACTCTTGCACTTTCAATTTTTATGACAGAAGGAAATAAAATTTCAGCGTCTTAAACAACATATTTTGGGGGGATATGCTCACAAATGAATTGAATCTTAATTGATATTAATTTTAAGGTACAGTGAACACTGGGACTATAATACAGTTTATATCCACAGAATTGAGCATGGTGTCAGACACATTAAATATATAATGAATAAAACATGAAGATAATTGGGCCGAGCCCGTGGTACACTCGGGAGAGTGTGGCTTTGGCAGTGCAGCAGTGCTCCCGCCGCGGGTTCGGATCCTATATAGGGATGACCGGTGCGCTCACA